TATATATATATATATATATATATATATATATATATATATATAGTTTAAGATATAATAAATTTGTTATTAATCAAGGATATTTCTTGGCAATTTGCAACAGGTACTATTAAATAGATTTAAGGAAGGAACAAGCAGAGGAAACCATGTTCCAAAATTTTCAGTGGAAAAAAGATTACAGAATTGGTTGTTGGAAAAAACAGAACGTTGCAAAGATGAAACAAAGACTGAGAGAATATATCAAGATTGTGTAAGACTATATTATGACATATTTTACTGTAATATTAGATAAGAAACAAAATATAGATTCATATTATTTTGACAAAAAAAAACTAATTCAACTTTTTTTGCAGTGACTTACTCTAAATGAAAATAATATACATCTTCAATAAAATTGCAATATATTAGCATAAATTGACTACTAACATTTACCATTATCTATGTAGTTCTATCGCCACTTACCTTCCCAGCAAAAGCTACGATCACAAAAAGAAGTAATGAACTTTTTGCTACATGGTGATTTTCCTCTCAAAGATGGAAGGAAGAAACCAAAGACGAGTACTGAAGTTGCTTTTGTAGATAACCAAGTACATATATTTTAACGTTTTTAGCATATAGCTCTATGTGTTTGTGCATGTGTGAGTGTATGTTTGTGTTTTTCATTAAAATAACATAGAAAGAAAATTGTGGTATGAACAACTGTTGATATTTTGCTTACCCTAATTATTTTCCCTGCAGGTTTCAAGTTTAGCATCTCATGAATCAAGCAATAGGGAAGAAATGCCGCCTCACCTTCCAAAGACTGAGATAGCGAATAAAAAGTAGTTATGAAAAAGGAAGATAGGGATGAAAAGTTTAAATAAGATTAATAGTGATCAAGAGGAGAGTAATAAATTGAATAAGGTGTTGAGTGGTGAATTATAGTATAAGATTTGTGTTTACAAAATAAGATAATCGCATCGGATAATGAATGTTGGTGAATAAGATGATTACATAATAAGATGATTTTTTTTTTTTACTTAATGGTTTATTTTATAAAAATATCATCATCGCAATTCTGTAAAAGCCAATTTTTGTTCAGCTATTAAGGATGGAAAAAACTTTGGCCAAAGTATGTCACTTTGTAACATAAGCTATCACTAACTTGCATAACACATGTTACGAGGTATAATATTCCCCCTTTTTCCTTAAAACTTATCCCACAAAGTACAATTTCAAATAAATGAAGAAATTTATGAATTTTGGAAGTTAATTCAGTAGAAACTAATATAAAGAGAAATTTAAGCACGTAAAAAAGGGGGGAATCCATTTTAACACAAATGATATTTAGATTTGGTTTTAAGAACTCAAAAAGAGAAATAAGTTTAGTGAAATTTTGGATAGGAAGACAAGGTTGGCACTAAATTGTTTTGTATCCAACTTGGGTAATTTGTAACAAAGTAAATGCTACTAATTAAACAACCATAACTTTTTTTATAAAAAAATCCAAAATATCAAACACTCATAATTTACGATTGTGTTAATTAATTTATATATATATAGAGAGAGAGAGAAAATACAATTTTGTATAAACTTGAATAAAATCCATAATTGATTAATTAAAAAAAAATATAGTTAAGTAGAATCTATAACATATAAAGGAGTTAAATTCTTTAACGTGATAAAATAATGGAGTTTTGGCCAATAAATAGGCCAATGATGTATTTCAAATAATGTATACATTGTTGGTCATTGTAGATCCTAAGAAAGAAGAAATAATTATAGGTCGTCGACTTAAGGCGTGAACTTGTGTTGTTTTCATGTATCACTTAAGTCGGGTTCAAACTCATCCACTAAAGATGTGAACTTGTCTTGATGTCCCACATCTCTTAAGTCGGGTTAAGATCACTCATTGGCTCCCATTGTTGTGTTGTGTGCACAGTCCTCGATAGAGATCGGTTGTCAGTGTCACCTCTTCCAGTGGTGAATGTTTCGTACATACCTATGCCATGGTTACCCAAAAACATTATTCTAAAATATTGTTTCTTAGGGACAGCCACAACAAGTACAAATTTTAAAACCATGGATTTTTAGGAAATAGTTTTATAATCTTTCAACAAGGTTCATTATTTTTTTAAAACAGCAGAATCCAGATAATTATTTTGTCAGTTGTTTGCTATTAATTATTAATTAAACCTAGCACTCCATTCCAGAACTATTATTTTTTCCAAGTTGTCAGTTGTTTGCTATTAATTAAACCTAACACTCCATTTTCAAACTATTATTTTTTTTCCAAGTCGTTTTCTCATGGACCCCTATTTGGCTCTCCTAATTTAAACCCCGTGAGATCTATGTGGCCCTAGCATAGCTTAATGTCAGTGTCATAACTTTTTCTTTTCTATTTCTATGGTATTGCAAGATTTACAATTAATGTTTCAATGTTAAGAACTTATGTCTAAACTTTCAACCCCACTAAATCTCGACTTAAACTCTACATTAGTAACCATCACATAGTCCACGCATTTTCATAGTCCAAGATTAATAATAATATATGCAACATCCTCCAATGATTTTATAGAACTTTTTTTCCTTTATTTTCAAATTATTGGGATGAATAAGGAAGATTTTTAGAAAATTAAAAAAAAAAATAGCAATGTTTATATGTGTCTTGAGGATCTACCATAAATATTTTATAAGAAAATATTTTTTATTTTGTTAAAAATATGTAGAAAACCATTGGATGATATTATGTATATTTTTATGCTTGAGTTGTGATTTGTTAAAAGCATTTAGAAGTAAAAATATCCAAAAATAGAAAAATTCGATAGCTTAGTGTTCCTCATATGTTGTTGGTATGTAATTTTTTTAAAAGGTATATTTATTTTGATCTAAACTTCAATGTATTTGTTATATATGTTTAATAATTTAATAAAATTAAATTTAATCATAAATTATGGCAGTTGGAATGTGTTAATAAAACATATAGTTGGCCCAATAAAGAATTTTAATCCAACTAATCAATTAAATTAAATTTTAAAATAAATACATGATTACTATTTCCTATCTAATATGATTCGATACTTAATAAAGTTTAGACAAGGCTAATTAATATTGTAATAGCTCAATTTTCACAGGTTGTACGAAAGCTCAAAGTCCAATAAGGGTGATTTAGTAGCCTAGAACAAGTCGTTCCTAAACTGGAACGTGCCATTCCAAACTACTAAAAAGGTTTATAAACCCTAGATGGGAACGGGCCATTCCCAACTGGAACAGGGCATTCCAAATAACCAAAAAGGCTTGTAACCCTAGTTGGGAACGAGTCGTTCTGGTTTAAGAACGGGTCGTTCCAAACATGGCCGTTATGGGTTAAAATGCAACACAAGAACGAGTCATTCTAGTTTTAGAACGGGTCGTTATGGTTTTAGAACGGATCGTTCTGGTTTTAGAACGGGTCGTTCTGGATGTAGAATTTTACACATGACGAATGAGTCCAGAACATGCCATTTCGGATTTGAAATGGGTCGTTCCAGCCACTCCTGATGCCTATAAATAGCACGCTCTAGCTCTCCCAAAAGCACACTTTTCACTTCTGACTTCTTTTCCTTCTACACTCTCTGAAGACCGAGAGAAACCCAGAGGAGGATACCAACCAGATCCTTCCTTAGTTTCAACTATTGTTTATCAAGGTACGGGAGAAAAGGGAATTATTTGTATGCAAAGTTACATGAGAGAATTGGGTAGAGGAGGAAGCCCGTAGGATTATGGGTAATTTTATAATTATTTCTGTTTGAGGAATTGATGATTTCATTAGATTTTGCATGTATTGAGGATTAGGAATATGTAATTAATTTGTAAAAATGATGATCTGGGACAGAGAACGAAATTGTAGAAAAGTGCTTGTGAGTTAAGTTTTGGAAAAATTGGGGATTTTACTATTTGAGTTAAGATTCTATTAAATTAGTGATTCAATCAGGTTTTATATTAATTTATAAATGTTATTGATATATTATATGGTAAAAATTGATGATCTAGATGTGGATTCGTGGTGAATTATTTGAGAGGTATGTGAACCATTGTATTGTGTGGACTTATCTATATTGTGTATGTGATGTGGAATTGAGTTATGGACCATGGTGTGATGTCTTGGCACATATGTATACATATTGTATCTACCATTTCAGTATTGAATTGATAACATGATGTGGCGAATGGTATATTATGGCTCAATTGTTCAATTAATTATGATGTGAGTATGTTGACATGAAATGAGATGTTGTATTGAGAATGAATCTTTGTCTAGTCACTACAAAAAAAACTGGGGATTGTTGGCGGTTATTTTTTGGCGGTTTTAATAAACCGTCAAAAAATGTTATAATTTTACAAATAATTAAATATTTCGGCGGCTAAAAACTGCCATAATTTTTAAGACCAATTATCAGTAGTCAATTTAATTAAAATATTTTCTAAACTCTTCTGGAAGAGAACTAACATAAGTATTTTTCAGACTGGCATCATTCATGCCATTTGTAACATCCCAAATTTTATACAATATTAATAAAAAAAGGTTCTTTTTATTTTATGTATTTTAAATATCCAATCTGCCAAAATCCAGATTTGAGATCGAACTTTGAGAAGTAGTATGCATCCTTTATGTAGGCATGAAGTGAATATATCTTTGGAAGAGGAAATTTGTCATCTCTTAGAAACATATTCAGAGGTCTATAGTTAATGACAAGTCTCTTCTTGTTTCTAGCTTGTTCAGCTCTTTTATTCACATAAAATGTCGTACATGCCCAGCTTGAGTTTGTGGGCTCAATGAGTCCTTGTTCCAGTAATTGTTGGCATTCTTCTTTAGCTGCCTGATATTCACTTGGTGACATTCCAGGATGACTGGCCTTGGTTGGATTGATATCTTCATTCATTTTGAAAGGTAGTTGGACAAAGAATTCTTTTCTTGTCCATAGAGGTTGGGGATGTTTGAAGAGATCATGACTGTCAGCACATAGTTTTCTGATCTGATCTCCAATTTCTTCAAATCCTGGAGGAAGTTCTGCTAGTGAGAACATATTTGAATTCTTACAGAAAGGCTTGAATTCCCTTTTATATTTTAATCCATGAGCAAGAATTTGTAACTTGGTGCTCTGGACTAAAAGATCCCTACCAATGAGAATATCTTTTCCATGAAGGCTATCTCCAATTACTTTCATCCAAATTGTGCAATCTGGGAAAAGCTTAATTCCAATTTTTGAGGATGTAACTAGATCCGTTTGATAACTCTTTCCATCTGCAGTTATAAATTTATGAACTTGAGTTGTCCATAAATTTGATGGGAGTATTGCAGGATTGAGCATTGTTCTGGATGCACCAGTGTCAATAAATGCAATAACTTTGATAGGCACATCATACTTTGTTGGCAAAATGAATGCTTCAACATTTGGTAATAATGAAATCTCCTTTTCCTTTTGAAAACATACCTCTTCTATTTTCAGTATCGGAAAGTGGTTGCACTCATCATCAGTATAGTCAGAGTGTTCTGAGGAGCTATCATTTTCTCCTTCTGAGTGTGTGATGCCAAAGACAGTTAATTCATCTGGACTTTCTTGTTCATCGAACAGAGATTCTACATCTTCATCTTCCAGTTTGAGTGTGCTTATCAGCTTTGTGGCCTTCTTTTTGTTAGGGCAATTTTTTGAGAAATGTCCTTTTCTTCCACAAATAAAACACTTGCTGTTAGATCCTTTTCTTCTGAAGGGTTTTTTTCTTGAAGAACTTGAAACTTTTCTTTCCCTTCTTCTTAAAAGATTTAAACCTCTTTTTCTTGCTGGATCTATCTTTGCAATGGCAAATAGAGTCTTTGCATTTGATTTGCAGGTATCCCTTCTTGCACACTTGCTTGTATTTAGGTTGTTCGTCAATAATCTTTTTGAACATTCTCTGTTGATTGCAGATTTTGTCTAAAGCAGCAATGCTAGT